AGAGAGAGAGAGAGAGAGAGAGAGAGAGAGAGGACATATGTGTTTTCTTCTTTCTAACGGTTAGATTACTTGTTAGAAGAGAGGAATTGTGAGGCAGTGGTGGAAGATATGCACAAATAGATGACTAGTTTTGCTTACAAACAGATCGAAATTCGACAATTGTATCGCTTGTATAGCACAGCACTCTTAACCCGTAGTTCCCTCACTATAGTTACTGTTTTGTTTCATTCTCTCTCTCTCTCTCTCTCTCATCAAATCTCATCATAATATCCAACAATTTATGTTTAATTCTATTTTTATCTGCTTTTGTAAGCATTTCTATCTTTCTCTCCCTATTCTCTCTGCATTCTCTCCCTATTCTCTCTATTCATTTTCACTCCTCATTATATAATACACAACACATTTATTCTGTGACTTCACATCGCGTTTCAAATTGTTTAGTCAATGAAATGAACTTTTTTGAAGAGAGAATTAACTCATAATTTAAAATATTTCACTTCACTTAATGTAATGAGTTTTGGCCGTCATTTCGATAAATGAATGAATGGATAGAAGAAGAGAATAGTGAGAGAGAGAGAGAGAAGAAAAATTATGTGTTATATTGATTATCATTAATAGTGTAGTAGTGTTGGCACAAAATAGCTTTTTTAATAATGATTCTCTCGCTATACCATTGTTTGTGTGTATTATTCTCTCCTTTTCGATAGTTTCATAGTATAAGAGAGTATAGAGTTTTTGGCACAAAATCTGCGGATCAGGATTTCGATCGCTTCTCACTTACAGTAATGTTTTTTGTGTTAATAAAGAGTTTTTTGTTATCATAAGCGAGAGATTTATTACTCAGATATTGTATTATAATAATTGTATCGCTATTTTCTATAATATATTGTGTGTATATTATAATTGATTTTATTTTTAAGTAAATTCCTTTTGGCTCACAGTATGTGTTCGGACCGAACGTCAAGAAAAAGACCTTAAAATATTTCTGTTTTAAGAGGAATTATATTAATATTTCATGTTTTGCTGTATTTTTGTCGCTACGAAATAATGTTATGAAAAATGAATAAGACTTTAGGATTTAGCGATACAGTGAGTGAATAGATGGACGAGAGAGAGAGAGAGAGAGAGAGAGAGAGAGGGCTTTATTTGTAAGAATGTATAGAATATTATACACACATTGCATAAGAAATTCAAAACAGAGAGTCATTTACTGTTGAGTTAATCGCCGACAATATATTTTTATGATCTCTTTTTGGGAACTGAAAAATCGCTTGAAATAAACTAATGTAAAAGTGATGTACGGACTGAACGTTTCATTTCCATTTAGAGACCGAAGGCCTAATACAGTAGAGTATAGTTGGGCCGCCAGTGATGACCACTTGCCAGCCATTAACTCTCCATTTGGAGCCAAACTATAGACTCATATCGTGAATGAAAGAGTGTATAATATTAAAGGCAAAGTTTAGACAATAAGTAAATTGTATGTAATGTTAAAAACCATACAATATATTGTATATACGATTGGCTGGAATACACTGTAAGAACATTGCTTCATATGAATGGCCATTCATTGTAATCATCGGAGCACTCAATAGCTATAATAACTCTCACTTTTATAGTCTCATTGCAATCGTATTCATTGCATTCATTGCATTCATAATTCATTATTCGCATTAAAATTCAATTATTTGCTTAAATCTCAAACTCGTTATACAGTACAATAACAAAAGCGAGTATTTTCTATAGAGAATTGAAAAAGACTGCTAAACATTGTTTATCGTCTTTAAAATAGTGTTAATTATTTGATTAGTATTTGTTGTTGTATTTCACATTTTGAATGCAAATTAGTTTATAGTGTATTAGCTTTTTATTAGATTTGGCTGTAATTGTATTGCACTTAACCCTATGTCCAGACATACAACAGTATTTCGTACAACAGATACACTCTCTTTACTTATACAGTATATCTCTAGTGAGCATTCGTTTCACTCTATGGTCTGTGAACTGAAAACTTTACTTTCCTTTCAATCATTTCATAAAATGGGAAATATTTGAAATATTTTATTCATTTTTATTATTTGTCTATTTTTAAAAAATTTTCATTTTGTATTCAATCGACAAATGCCCTAATATTTGCCCAATTGTTGTGAGACTCAAAGACATATGAATGTGAATTCAATGAATTCACGACGAATTTCTTTTGATTTATTGTGGAAAAAAATTCTGAATAAATTTCATATGATTTTACTAATACTTTAGTTTATGAATAAAATATAAGCAAATGATTAAAATGTTAAAAATTAAATATATATTTAGATAACAATAAAGAGTGAATATATTTTTTATTTGCATTTCAATCAATGGCTCAAAACGTCAAAATAAGTGCATTTTATTGTAGAAACAATGGTTCGGAAAAAGTTTTTAATCTCCTTTTTGTTCGCTATTCTCTTAAATGAAAAACTCAATCAAACAAAATAAAAAACATCTAAAAAGTTGTTTTGAGTCATTAAATCGAGAAATTCAATTATAGAGTGAATATATTTGGAGATTACATAAAATGTGAGGTAAAGAAGTGTTTGGAGTGAGTGATAGAGAGGTCGGGAGAGAGTGGGAGAAAGTTTAAAGTTGTTTCAAGTTTTTAATACTTCCGATGGCTTAAAAATAGATACTTTTTCTTAGTTGGAGTTCTTATTTAAAATAATGTCTATAATAAAGATAAGATGAAATAGTGCTCTAAACAATTGATTTTCTTATACTTTATTTCCTATGTTTTTTATTTTATGAAATTTGATATCAGATGACAATAAAAGTCGACACACTATTGGGCCAAAAGAAAAGAGAGAATTGTTTTATTATTAAAAAGTAATGATTTGTTATTTTGAAGCAAAACTCTCTCTCTCTCTCTCTCTCTCTCTCTCTCTCTCTCTCTCTNATCCATTCAATATATTAGTAGTTTTTTCGTACAGAATATTCTGTACTATTCCTTTAGTTTTGCCCAAATGTCAATACAATCGACTCTCTCTCTCTCTCTCTCTCTCTCTCTCTCTCTCTGTTCATCACTTTTTTATTACTTATTCTTGTATAACATAAATAGATGGAAAGAGAAAAATAATATTCAATTACTATAATCTCTGAAAACATACAGAATATTCTTTTAGGTATAGCATAGGATTGGGTGGAAATGAATTTGCAGATTATTGGTGTAATACAAATATGAAATAAACTTAATGTTTATGGTTTTTATATCTTATATGTATTAATGGTTTTCTTCATTCCTCTTATGTTTTTTATTAATTCAAATCAATTATTAACGGCACCGATAGTGGAGGCAAATGACCTGTTGGCACAGTCAGGTAACACCAGTCCTTTATTACCTAACGTCAAGTATCGTAACAATAATGTAATGACTTTTGTGTCACAATTATGTTTTTTATAGACGATTTGCCAAAATTTCTTGAAGTTTTCAAAGCACAAGATCTGAGGCCTGGCGAGCAGTTATCGTTGAAATGTATGGCAACGGGAACGCCATTACCAATGATTACGTGGCTTTTGGACGACTTGCCTATCACTGAATTGAATGGCTTACGTTATGGCGATTATGTGACCAGAGATTCAAATGTGATATCATTTGTGAATATATCATCGGTGAGTACAGAGCACGGCGGCCACTGGACGTGTACGGCCCGATCGCACTCCTCCAATGTCCGCTACGGGGCTAATATTCATGTGATGGGCAGCCCTTTCGTACGGCTCATACCAAACATGACTTTAGTCGCTCACCAGACTATATATCTCAAGTGTCCGGTTGGCGGCAATTTCGATGAAATCCAATGGGAAAAAAGTAAATAACAATACATTTTATTTCCTTTTTTCCAACAAATATTTGGTTCAAATCAATCATTAATCAAATGGAAAAATTGTTTTTTATATATAATAGTATTGCTATATATTAATACATATAAAACACAAGAATCGCCGCTTTTATTAAAGACTCACTATATTTGTATGTGTTTTGCAGACGGAGTGCTTTTGCCCGACAATCACAGACAAACACTTCATACGAACGGAACACTCATTGTTCGCGAGCTCTCCCGGGAAACAGATGGAGGAAGGTTTGCATGTTTTGATCACTTGTCTCACAGATCTGTCTTTATATTGTTTTTACTCTATTTGTTCTCAAACTTAGTCTTCTTAATAAGATTTTCAGTTGAAATATAAAAGTTAGCAAAGAATCTGCAAATCTCTCTCATTCTAACACTTTTTTGTCACTAAAGGAGATAAACAATAGAGAAATCACTTTATAGTATTTTTTGTGGTCTAATTCTCAATCGTGTCCTAAACGCTAAGCCCTTTTCAAAACATAGACGGAAAGTAATTCCCTTCACTACAGTATAGCGCAGATAAGTTACAGCGAAATATATATTTATTTATTATGACTATAAAATCAATACATAATACATGTTTAAGTATTGCAAAGATTAAGTTCTCACATAGAATAGAGTGTTGAATATTTTAAAGGGATTATTGCTATTATAACTAAACTTTTGTTTGTTGTGCAATATTCTCTCTTTTTAATACTACTTACTATTGTTATAATGAAAATATTTCCATAATTATAACATTATGGTTAGGGAATGGGTTCCGCCAAATGGCAACTCATTCGCTGTTATAATTCTTTTCATCAAAATTTAAAACAATTTTAGAAAATTTACGCAAAAGAGAGTCATAAAGGTTTATAACGGTTAATATAGGCCTTAATTGCACGCTATATATTATGCATTATATAATTCATGTATATTTAGTGAATGTAAAAACAAAACTTCGCTATATTTTGAATGTCAACTAATTATTTATAATTACATTTACTAATTATATATTATTGATAGCAAATGTAATTTAAAACAACACAAAACACTTATTGAGAGAAACCTCGCATTTAAACCGCAGAATATTCTTTGATTTAAATTTTTGCGTAAATAGAGACTGACTTTTCTATACTTTGAGTGAAAACAAGTTAAACACTAAATATGTATTTTATCAAAAATTTACATGATTTATATTGAAAAATTGTGTATTACTTTCTCTATTCCAGATATTCGTGTTTCGCTAAATATAAGGGCGATATTTCCCGAAGAGATTTCTATATAACAGTGAGAGGTAACCAAAAACTGTATAATGTGTTTACCAAAAAAAAATATTGTATTACATTATCGCTTAATGCCTGCAATTTATGTAAAGCATAGAATATTGTGTTTGTTTTCGATTGTAATCGCATTCAATCAAACATTTTCTTTCTTTATCCGAAACACAAAAACCGTTTTTTGACATTAAATGCACAGAAAAACCAGTGATTGAGCCGTTTATCGTGCCGTCGTTAGTACATACGGGACAACGACTGTCCATCACATGTACTGTCATTAGAGGTGATCCGCCGTTGACTATCAAATGGCTATACAATGACCACATGATCGGCGAAGAGTCGGTCGTCAGCAACACTGTTATTAAAGTCCATCATTTGACTGACTATTCCTCGACATTACTATTTGAATTGTTAACTAAGAAACAGACGGGTAAGACATGTCTCATACTGTACTGTATATTATATTATATTATATATAAACCATTAATTACCATAAAATTCATAAATAATTCATGTTTTATGTGATATTTAGCTCATTTGAAATAAGCCTCTCATAACCTGATTTTGAATTTCCATACATATTGTGCACAGAATATTACTGTTAGTCTTTACATCTATATTAACTCAAATACAGTAGACATTCGGTTTTAACAGCTGCGATTATAACAGAATTCGGTTTTAACATAAGATTTTGTAAGCCCCGGCAAGCCCTATGGACACTGTAATGTTAAATGGTTCGATTATAACACTTTCGTTTATAACAGATTTCGATTATAACAGCAAATTTTCTAAGCCTGTATAGCATAACTGCATGGTTCGATTATAACATATTGTTGTGTTTTGTTGAAAATGTTATGTTTTTCCACATTTTTTATGAAAATGTTGACAGAAAATGAAAAAAGACTTTCAAAATTGAGACTAAATATAAAATTAATTAATAAAAAGTAGATTATAATAAAATTAGGCCTAAAAAGACGACATTATAAAAGCGTTTGAGTCATTTAATGTATATATAATTATATTCGATTTTAACAGAATTCGATTATAACACATATTTTTGGTAGCCCCGACGAAGTGTTAAAACCGAATGTCTACTGTACTCTTATAGTGTACACCAATAGTAGATATGATGCAAATCAGTGACCGATTGTATTAAATATGATAGTTTGTAAGAAATGTGTAGAAAATAGTACTGCAAATGTTGTACACTATTCAAAACGGTTTACTATCGATACAGTATATAATGCAATGAATGTTTTGTGTCTATGACTTATTGTATGAGATATTGTATTCAAAAATACAATAATTCTTTTTGCAAAAGAAAAATATGTTTTTGGATAAAAAATAAAAAATCTATTTTTGATGAAAATAAATTGACTTTCTATGGAAAAAGCAAACCATTGCTAACACTCTTGAATTTTGTATAAGATTTGTACAGAAATATTTGGATATATTTTATGTCATTTATTCAATATAAAGATATACTGAACTTTTATGGGAAGAGAAGTTCTCCAAACTATATATTTCTCGAGTATCTCTTCTTATATTTTATTTTAAATATAATATATTCATTGAAATTATTTATATATACATTCAGAATAATCTAATTCTGTTTTACATTTAGTTTTATATGTCAGTCATATTTTCATATTAAGGGGTTTTGTCTTCAAATCAAAAATTGTTATTTAAATTACATTTCGTTTGACTTTATTCTGAATATTGATTAACAAAAAAATATTTTGTTTTTTCCTTCACTATTTGGTTGTGTATTGGACTCGAAGGCAATTACACATGTCTTGCAATTAATGATGTCGGAGAAGATAAACACAGCACTCAAATGATAATACACGGTAATTATGGTATTATTATTATCTATTCCCCGATACATACACTACTGGTCTCTCTCTCTCTCTCTCTCTCTCTCTCTCTCTCTCTCTCTCTAAAGAGACCTAACTTTATATTCAGACAATAGAGAGTAGAGATAATGAGAAAAACACTGAAAATAGTATAGAATTTTTTGTTATTTTCTGTACTCTAGATCTGACTTCAAATTAGGCTTTTTGATTGATTAAAGCATTTTTAAATAATAATTGCAATTAAAAATTTATGCATAATTTCATTACAATACATATACTGTATGTATATTCTAGAGAAGCCCCGATGGATAATAGAGCCGACGGATCACATAGACTTAGTTGAAGGCAACAGTGTTTGGGTTGACTGTTCAGCCACTGGTTTCCCATCGCCTAATGTTCAATGGAAAAGAGCCCAAAGTATGTACAGAATCACCACTACTACTACTATTGCTATTACTATTTCTATTACTAACATTGCCTGCCATTGCCTTGCATTGCGAACCACTGATTCAATTATAATAATTCCTAAACAAAAAGGTGTATTCCTTATATGCCTTCTCCTAATACCGTCTTTTCTGTTGTTGTGAACAATATATTGAATTTATGAGAATATTTCAAATGTTTGTTTCATTGCTTTTAGATTTCCATTTAGATTCTAAAATATTTTTCAAATAAATCTTTTCTATAAATATTTATTGTTTTTCCAATCTTTAAGTGCTTTTTTAAATCAATAGAATTTAAATTGTATTCACTTTACTGTATAGCAAACAAATTAATTTTGTAATTAGTATTTTTGTGCTATTTTTATATAATTAATCCAAAGCTAAACAGTTTATATAAAAAGCTTTTCTTTAAGTATATCTTCTTTGCTGTTATAAAAGTACTTTTTTGTTACGATATATAAAGTACTGAATAAGCGATTAATATATTGTTTGAAATGACTTTTTTGACAATTCAGGCATAAAATCGGAGTACAGACCGATTGTGAGCTCATTCCAGACCCAAGTGTACGAAAACGGAACTCTCTTTATAGAAAGTGTTGACAAAAAGGATTCTGGACTGTATTTATGCCATGTATCAAATGCAATTGAACCTGATCTTAGTAAAATAATTCGCATTCAAGTACACAGTAAGCGAATCACAACTACTAAATAAATACATTTGACTGTCGTTTTGGGGTTTTGAAAAACTCATATTCTTTTGCCACTTATTCGGTCCGTTGCTGTCAAACGACGACTACAGTCGCCGCCCGTTTTAGAGCCAAATTCAGGGCCGAGACCTTTACGAGGCATCAGAAGTCGATTCTGGTGTGCGATGCGATCGGCGAGCGGCCCATCACTATTGACTGGAGTAGAGACCGACAAATCATTCATACGGAACACCACTCTAACAGGTAATTCACTTTTATTAACACTACTGCAAGCCTTATATCGATGTAATCGCTATGTTTTTATTGCTATATTTCATACATTTTTATGTAAAGAATTTATGTGTTATAATTAGATAAATTTTTATTATACAGTATATGTTTACAATAATTGCAATAATTTATTAATGTTTGAATGTAAAATACATAATATTTTATAGTATAGAACTGTATAGTGAAGAACTCCAATGAAATTTCTTCAATTCTCTATCTATAATATAAAGATTTGGATTTGAGTTTCAATTAATTTGTAACAGAAAAGCCAATCTGAAAAACTATTTGTTCAAAACATTTCAATTACTTTATAATTAATTAGATGTTTAGTTTATGTTCTCTGATATTAAACTCTCATTTATTAATACTTTTGATAATAAGATACGCTATAAAGGAGACAGTAATGAACGAAGGAATCACATCGGAGTTAGTCATTGAATCGATTGATAGAAGCGATTCAGCGCTCTATCAGTGCATCACATCTAATGCCTATGGAAAGGATGAAACAAGTATTCAAGTTATAGTTCAAGGTATTGATCGTCAGATTCTATACACTATTAGATAATTGGAAATATAAGTCAACTTTTTTATTCTGTATTATACTATACTCTGCTGTGTATATAACGAAATCGTTTCTATTGTTATTTCCAATAATTAACTACTGGACCGACAGAACCGCCCGACACTCCACTCGACGTGAAAGTGGATGACATAACGAGTCGCTCGGCGCGGGTGTCGTGGGCGCCCCCTTTCACCGGCAATTCACGAATTACCAAATATCACATTTATCTCAAAGAAAATCCCACTGAAATATCTCAACAAAAGCGCAATATCACTATTCCCGGCACAGGTATGGGTTACACAATAAACCTATAGCTTCTGCAATGAATGCAATAAATTATAATCATTTAGTCTCTGAAAAATTGCTTCAATTCTATACAAAAGTTTTTATTTCTATTGACTTAATTGTGGTTAAAGAGAATATGATATACAGTATATGTTGTGTATTATATGACATATCATTGGGTAGTTTATTATGAAATATCTGTTACCTATTATTTCTCATATGAAATGCAAATTAATTAATTAGCAGTGAAATACAGTCTGAAATATACTATACTATGATAAATACCGAATAATCCCAGTTGAGAGACAGAATAAATTATATTTAATTTTATAATTAGTGACTTAAAGTATAATTTTTGCGTTTATTTTATGCCAAAATTATATGTTTTATTGTGAGTATTGCGTGATTCGCACAACTTATACGTACAGACATTTCTTTTGTGTGATAAATATATTGATCGCAAGAATAAGTGATATTAAACGCATAACTTGTATAACAAATGAACGTAGAATATAGTGAGACTGTATTTCCATGAATTATAGTCTAGTAATGGATTAACAAAACTAATTGCAAACGATATGTTTGTCACAAAGAATAACATTTCTGTGCATTTCATATACAAGAGTCAGACATAAGATATGTGTAAAAATATAATACAGAATATTCTTTAACCCGAATATAAGAAACATGGTTTGCTATTCCACAAAAAGACAGCTATTAATATCAATTCAGTTTCTGTTTGGTTTTAATCTCATTTTTTAGATAATTGGGAAATAAATCATCGTTTTATTAAAATATATTTTCGCAAATATTAATATTTGGCTCAAATAGGAAAGCATTTTAAAATAATTAAATTTAAGGCATTAATTAATAACAGTCTCAACACATTTTCATGTAACGAAAATTTATGATCAGTATATCGTTTAGAGTAGCGCTTAATGTTGTTTAATATGACGTTTGAAAAATATTATATCTCTTTTGAGATCAGAATTACATTTTATGAGAAGAGAATTAACACATTTTCCGTATATTTTGTTACGAATCACATCTAATACAGAAACCGTTTGGACGATATCCGAGTTATTACCGAATAATGTGTATTCACTAAACGTCGCGGCCGTCAATTCGCTCGGAATAAGTCAATCGAGTCTTTCAATCAATTTCCAGACCCAAGAAGAAGGTATGTATAGAGAGGGAGAGCGTATGTGAGGCACAGAGTGTGTGAGAGAGTGTGAGAGAGCGAATAGAAATTGCTTTTATCTCTGTATTATATGACAGCACAGACAGAACTGAGTCCTAGATCTTTGTGCTCTTCATCAATAGTGTCGTTCCCTTTACTCCAACACAACAAATACTGTGACTGAGTTGACAGCAGTAGAGATCGATAATCGATTCGTGAAAATCCTTTTTCAAAACTATTCCCATTTTTCTAAATTTAAAAAATAGATAAATTGTTTGTCAAAACCGACCGTACATTCAGTGAAACAGAAAAAATTTCCCTCAATTAATGGTTATTTTGTAAGGAAATGCTTTTGGAATTTATTTTACTTTTTGCGAAAACTGCTAAATCTTTAAAAATTTTCATTATTTAAATAAAATCTCAATTTTATATCTTATGCTTATAAATAAAACATATAAAAATTGATGTTTAAAAGTGACAAATGACGAGAATTTTATAAAAATTTTAATAAATTTGTTAATAAATTAATAAAATATTGCAATAAAATAGTTTCTTTAAACATTTCGCTATTTATCGGTATAAATAGTAAAGCAAAGGATTTTGAGAAAAAGATATACAGATTGTGTTTGGATTGAAATATTGATTTTAAAGTATATTCGGTGGGATGTAAACCATTCTTAATGTTTTCTCATTTGTGTACAGAGAGTACTCACACTATAAAAACTAAAAAACTTTAAAGGCTAATAAAACTTAAGCTCACTTTCCCAGTGATATTGTGTCGTAGATTGAAATAAATGATAAGAATATATTCCGCACTCAAAATAACAATTTTGTTTTGACTTAAATTATAAATCAAAAGCTTATATAAAAAACATTGAGAGATACTATGATATAAACTGATAACGAAAAATACGAGATAAAAAGTGATATCGTTTTGAAGAGAGAGAAAATGATTTATAGATATTTAGAGTAATATTTTGTGAACACATTTGTCAGTTCCCAGCGATCCTCCGACTCATATCAAAGCCCACTCCAACTCGTCGACGACACTGAAAATAAGTTGGAAGGTATGCCTCACTTTCATCCCTACTTTTCAATGCCAGACTCTCACAGACCTACTCTTCTTCTTCTTTCACTTACGGCTTATGTGTGAATGTCTGTCAAAACCAATGCATTACAGGCACCGGACAATCAAATCAATTTCGGATCAATAAAGGGATATTATATTGGATACAAAATCGCCGGAACTTCAGATGTCTTTATTTACAAGACGTTAGAAAATAGTGATAATAGTCTGCGATCTGAGACAGTATTGAAGAATTTAAACAAATCCACTAAATATGATATTGTGGTCCAGGCTTTCAATTCTAAAGGTATGCCTTTTTACGTAACGATTGATGTTTGTTTTGAAAGCCATTATACAATGAAACTAAGTTAATATTTTACAACTATGTCAGGTGCCGGTCCTCCTTCTGAACCAATTAAATGTAATTAATTTATTAATTATTAATTTCAATGTAATATTCATTAATAATAATTTGAATTTATATTTTTAGCCGAAACTCTTTTTGAAGGTATTTATTAACCTATTTATACTTTTTTTGTTGGTTTTTCCTATAATATAATTAATCTTAAGTTAACTTAATTTTATATAAGAGTTTGAAGGCAACCAAAAAAGTAATTTTAAAGCAATTTATCGATTATTGATTTGTTCATTAAGTCACATAAAAGCAGAAAATTCAATTTATTTTAAGTTTAAAAATTCTCAAAACCGCAATCTTTTTGTCATAATTTCATTAATAACAACTTTTTATTATTAATATATTATTATATTATAAATCGCATTTCATATTTCACATTATATTTTTAACTACATTTTCAGGAATATTCTTTATGTTTATTATATTATTTCGTTGATATGAAATGTTTTATATATAATATTTTGTGCATAATTTACAACTTTTTGCCGTTAAAATCAGACGAGTGTTTGAAATTAGGAAAATATTTTGCTCAAATGACTGGTGTATGGCCTGCAGTGCCAGCACCAGAATGAGCACCAGTACAGCACATCACCAGCACCTCCAGTGCCAAATCATGTATCGGAATATTGATTACGAGTTTTACTGTACAATATTCCGTGTATAATAATACTGTACACTATATGTCAGTGCTCTCTAAATGCTAGCTTTATATTGCATTTTATAACTGAATAAACTTTTATTCGAGTATTTTTAGGCATAAAATTGAATTTATATATATTTTTTGACGAAACTTTTGAATTGGGGTTTACTCGACCTCAAAGACTCAATTCAATTCAACCATTCATAGAGATATATATGTTTAGTATATTTCTTAAACATCGGTTTCCTTTTGTTTGATTCAAATATATTTATATAAAATTTATTTTTCAAATTCCTATGTAATTGAATGGACAGATCGACCGAAAACAGTTACTTTGAATCCAATAGGCGTTACGGCGTTTAGCATTGAATTAGAGTGGATTCGCGCACCAAATGATGACAATTCTGTTTCTGGTAATTAAGCATTCATTTTATGCTAATTTCATATTATTTTTAATTAGCAATTGATTTTTCATTTTGTTCTCATTGTCTATGTTATCTTTAATATTTAATGTTTAATTTCTGGCTCTCTCTCTCTCTCTCTCTCTCTCTCTCTCTCTCCTCAACGCAATCACCAGAATATATACTCGACTGTAAAAACAGTGCAAATTATTTCAAACAAATGAGATTTGCCTCTAATCACACAAATTGCATATTTGATACACTATTATGCGGAACATTATATGAGTTTTCGATAATGGGTTGCAATAAAGTCGGGTGCAGTGAACGGCACCAGATCTCGGTTAAAACAAAGGGAAATACACCGCAACCGCCTGACAAGGAGTCATTACTGTCGGCAATAAACTCGACTTTTGTGATAATCAATTTGTCAACGTTTAGCGATAATGGGTGTCCTCTGCAACACTTTGAGCTCAAGTATCGGTTGAGAGCGAAGACTTTTTGGACGCTTTACTCCAATTTTATTCACTCGTCACAGAAATCGCTACTAATTGATGGATTGCAGTCCAATTCGTGGTATTATATTCAGATCACTGCCTACTCCCAGGCCGGCAGCAGTCAGGCTGAGTACAACTTCTTGACGCGAACCCAACATAACTGTAAGTACAACTCAATCCTCTCATTCCTCTCATTCTCATCCATCCATTAGTTTTACTTTCAGTTATTTTTTGTTAGCTTTTGTGTTGAAATCGAGTTTTTCGCGTCAGCACTAAGTCTTGTGAACCCATTACCCATCCCTTCATCCCTTTTGCCATTTATTGTGTGCGTTTAAATCCATTTCCCCGTTTGGCCTGTGATTCCCATTCCCAACACACTCTCCATTCAACTCTTGTTTCAAATTCTCGGCTCATATACAGTATATCTATATATTCTGTATATTATATTATACTCTAATTGTAAACGTTTTCATCCAATTTCGCAAATGTTTGTCAAAACACGCGAATAATTTCAATGAACTCCCAGTTATAGTAAATAATTAAAAACAAACAAATTTGTTGACATCAGTCTATGAAGTCTATGAGGAAATGAACATTTGTTTGCGGACTACAGAATTTGTTTGCTTTTCGTTATTAATCAACGCAAAAAACGAAATATTTGTTAATTTTTGGCTCATTATATAAAATTTCTATATAGAGTAGAGTACAGTAGTGTACACTCATTATTACAACGAATTTGCACATCAATGCCCATTGTATTCAATTTTTATATTTATTATAATAATAACATCTTATAATGAATTAAAGGATTATTTCTTATACCAGAATAAAATTTTCCATTGTTATGAAAAAAGCAATAGATTTTTATTAAGAATAAAATACATATAAAAAACTAATGATAAATTTTCGGAGCATTAGAAGATTTAAATCATTTTTGACTATTCATACAAATTACACGCGAATAATTTCAATGAACTCCCAGTTATAGTAAATAATTAAAAACAAACAAATTTGTTGACATCAGTCTATGAAGTCTATGAGGAAATGAACATTTGTTTGCGGACTACAGAATTTGTTTGCCTTTCGTTATTAATCAACGCAAAAAACGAAATATTTGTTAATTTTTGGCTCATTATTAAAGCTGTTCAGAATATGTATTTATTTATGGTCAAATATGTTATATAATATTTATTTAAAATGGTCAAATATTTGCTTATATATTTACTAAAAAGGGGTCAAATATTTACTTAAATATTTATTTATAAATCTTAATATTCTATAAAAATTCTAATTAATGTATTCTATGGACAAAATCACGAAATATTAAGCTAGAAATGTTCGGTAGCCCTTTAAATCCTATTTATATAGTGTAAATTAAAGAAATAATATATACGGCCAAAATCATAACTATTACGGAAATGTAAATGAATATAGCACCTAGACCAAATGAGTAATCAACATAAAGTCTTCGGGAACATATTACCAGATAATGGAGGTAGAAAAAATGTATTGAAAATGTTTGCAAAATATGCCTGGTTATATGAGTAATTTTAAGTCAAAGTTGACTAAATTTCCATTAAGCGTAATGTTAAATTCAAAAAATTTTTGAAAAACTTTTTGGAGGTAGAAAAAATGTATTGAAAATGTTTGCAAAATATGCCTGGTTATATGAGTAATTTTAAGTCAAAGTTGACTAAAGTTCCATTAAGCGTAATGTTAAATTCAAAAAATTTTTGAAAAACTTTCTTTAATATAAACAATATATACACCAAAATGTTCATGGTCAAAAATAATTTTATACGTGTTTCGGGAATTTTGTTGTAAATGACGTACTATGCATATTATAGGTAATAAGTTGTAGAAAATTTAAAGTTTAAAATGTTTACCATTTAAAATCTACTTGTTCAAT